GTTGTAGAAGTAGTGGAAGGGGCGGATCCAGCCGACGACAAGAGGGGGGCGGGGGCCAAATCTTGAGGGAAAAATTAGCGCCGACTCAGCCGGCCGGTGAATAAGCGGGGGAGGGGGGGGGGGGCCAATTCGTGAGAAAATATTTAGCAGCGATTCATCCAGCCGGTGAATACGCAGGGGGGGGGGGGCTGATGGAAAGGAGAACCACTAATTTTGTTTTGGTGTTGGCTAAAATATATATTTATTTTAAGGGGGGCGCTCTTGTTTTTTGTTAAAAAAAAGGTTAAGTTTACGTTATTATCCTATTTTTAAAAACAGTTTTGTGGGCTAGGGGGGGGGGCAGGCCGGAAGAATCGCCACGTGGATCTGCGCCTGAGTAGTGGTGGTGGTGATAGTAATAGTAGTAGTAGTAGTAAATTGAGTAGTAGTAGCAGTAGTAGAAGTAGTATATCAAAATAAGAATTAGTAGTAGCAGTGGCGGCGCACCAGGGGGTGGGGACAGGGGGACACAGTACCCATCTATTCACCCCGCCTCCACATTTTCAAGTACCCGAAAGTGCCAATTTTTACATAGGAAAAGTGCCCCCTTCTTTTGCTTCAGATAAGAGCCCATTTTTTTTCATCTAATAAGTGCCCGTTCCATATTTCTTAAAAGTGCCTCTTACCACCTTCAGTGCTCCCTTCAAATTTCATAATTGCCCCTTTTCAAATATGAGAGGTGCCCCCATTATTTTAACAAGTGCCCCTTTTCCATTCTCATTAGTCCCTTTTTCATCTTTGGTAAGTACCCCTTTTCAGGTGCAGGAAATGCCCCGTTTTTATCTCTGATAATATCCTTTTTTAATTTGACGCGTGCTCCTTTTCTTTTGAAATAAGTGATCTTTGCCATTTGGATAAGTTCCCCCTTTCCCTTTCACCATACAAATATGTGCCACAAATTCAAAGCGACATTATAATTTTTTTTTCTTTGATTTCCCCAAAGCTCGCTCGTTTGCATTTATAGTTTATTAAGCCTGTCATAAACACATCAGGATTGTTTATTGTTTCCTCTTTATAAGATTTTACGCACTACGACTTCACATATCTTAAAATGTTTCCTCGCTCGCAAATAATACTCAGACCATCAACCTCAACTGCAAAGTATGATGATTAAGCAGTATCTTGGACCATGTAAAGAGAGAAAATATGGAAATAATCCCAGATAGTGTAATCACAATGTAGGGGTTTATATACTAATGGCACAAAATTGTATATTTTCGCTGTAAGGTTTCCCTTTGTAGGTGCACCTTTTCTCTCTCCAGAAAGTAACCTTTTTATTGGTACCCCCCCCCCCCCACTTTGAAGATGCTTCGCCGCCCCTGAGTGGTAGTAGTAGTAGTAGTAGTAGCAATGCAATATTAGTAGTAGCGTAATAGTAGTATAGTAGAAGAAGTAGTAGTAGTACAACAGTAGTAGTAGTAGTAGTTGTAGTAGTAAAAGTATTGATAGTAATAGAAGTAGAAAATACTAGAGAATAAATACACGTACGAGCCCTTTAAATGTCGAGTCGACTCACTTGGCACCATTAGCTGCTGTGTTTGAATCTTCACAATCGTAGAACTATAGTCCCCCACCCTCCCCATTTTTAAAATCAGAAGAGAATGCCATTTAGTGATTGCGCAAAATAAGAATTCTATTATACATACTTGAAGAATATAATACGTTCATACAAATTATTTTCAAAATAAAACTCAACAAGATAAAATATATGGAGATAGGATATAACATGAGGAGATATAAGGAGTGCTCTAATAACTGGCTTAAAGAAATTGGAATCCTTCCCATTCATTTACTTAACAAAGTCATTGTTGAATTCATAATTACCACTATCTTCAATGTCAAGAATCTACCATTTGAATAATTTGCTTAAGCGCTTTGTTTAGTGCCCCCCCCCCACCGTGGTCGTGCCGGTGTAAAATCTTCTTTTCACATTAAATAATTGATCCTCAACAAAAAAAAGAAAACTATTTTCATCAAAGTGTTCTAAGTCTAGCTAAAACCAGAGATGCAAGAAACGAATTAACGACGCTTAATAACAAGAATCATTTGGGTTTTTTTCTCAAAATACTAGTACTTATTTTTGTTCGGTATTCTAAAAGCGTGTGGTAGCATCATGACTTTCGTGTCTAGAATGAAATACTTCATCCAGTTGAATCAATTAATATATTAATTTTTAGATAAGTTCAAGAATGGAAGAGTTTGCTTAGACGCATTCAATTTTCTGACTTCTTGCAATAGAAAAAATAAAACTAATATGTCAATGAACAAACAATTTTAACCTCTTTTTGTGTGGATTTTGCCAGTTATATATCAAAAACAGGGAAACATACAACATACTTGGTTAAATTGGAGTATGGATTTACATAATAATCAGAGGGGCAGAAAGGTTTTAAAAAATGTAAGTGCTATGCGAATTTTACCTTTAAACTAAATGGCATAATATACACTTCTTGGCGTTATCAAAATCCGTGAGTCAAACGATTTGTACAACATCTGTCGCGGACTACGCTTCTTCCGAGCTCAAAAAATGAGTACGTCCAAAGGGTTACTGAGCCAAAGGATAATATCGTCTTGTTTGAGATGCTCATTTCTATTTTCCCCCTCCCTTTGAATTAATGATTCAAACTTCGTAGAATGATAGTTAATATCATGGAGTATTTTTAGAATCAATCTTGAAACATATAACCATGACTAACATATTTTAAAAATTAATTAACCCAATTGAATTTGAAAAGCGCCCTCTCTGTTTGCTTCACTGATATGAGATCGGTAGTTGCTTCTTTCAACTTCATGGTCACACTTTCTTTATAAAATCGTCTTTTGCTGAGCTTTACTATGTTGGATTTCTTTGATTATGTTTTGATACTAATACTGCTAAAGTAACTTCACTTGAATATCCATCACCATTAACTAGAAACGTGGATTCATGAGGTGTTCGACAGAGCAAGCTCACTTGTTAAAGGTATAGACCAGTTTTGGAAACACCCCCCCCCCCCCCTCTCACAAAATGAAATGGAAGATTTTATTACCAATCGTGTGAAAGAATATGTGTTGATTAATACGTGATGATACAAATTTTCCCCGGAAACCGCCTACTAATTGATATATTTGGTAAATTATCATATTGATCCGGCCTGGATAGATATCGCGAATGCACTTCAACACTAAATATTTAGGCATATATTTCTGCTTTTTGGCGAATTTAGGTTTAAGTTTTGCAATCTAAACCTGAAGGCAATATTGAAACAATATTGAATGGATAGTTTGCACGCAAAACCCTTGAACCGCAATTTTACCACTACCGGTCTATACCTTTAACAATAATTTTCCATATATATTATTTCGACCATGGTTTCCGGATAATGTTTTTTGTAACCTTTTTTAATACGAGACAGAAATATAAAATGAAAGTTATTAGTTTATACATAATTTATTTCATACAAATTGCTCAGGGATATTTTAAAGGAGGGAAGATTACAAAAAGTTTAGATGGGTCATACTGCAAAGGCAAAATAAATTTGGTATTTAGTATTTTAACTTGGCAGTGTTTTTGATGCAATGGAGGGGAGAGGGTTACTAGAAATTGACAAAACCAATCACAATTCTTTTTTTTTTCGGAATAGAGGCCTGAGCTTTTTAACTTGTCGTGAATAGTTTGGAACTGTTGCAAACCAATAAATGTGCTTCTGTAATTTACATCGTCTGTTCAGAGCCAAAAGGGCATTATCATTTGTGAGTCAACTGATTTGAGTTTAACACCTTCTCTGGCTCTGAGCAGACATTCTGCTCTCTTAGACTCTCCACCACTTCGTCCAAATACCAGCAACATTTCACATTTCACAAGGACCATTCACTCTACACTCTCTGTCACACAGCCGGGAACAATAACACTTTAAGAACATGACGTCTTTAGCATAAAATCAAATACAGTATATCTCACAGAATTTTCAAAAAATATTGTATTGATAAAAGAGTTTTATTAAAAAGGTATATTCTGAATTCGAACAATTATTATATTGGGCATCTTTGGACACTTAATAAATACCATTGCATTTATACCTTTGAGCAAAAAAAAAAAAAAAAAAAAAAACAGATGATGATAATAATATTCTGGATTTATATAGCACTTACAGGAGAAATCCACCCTGACTGATATTAATTTGGTTTTTAAAAGCAGAAAAGTGAGAGGGTCAGGTTCTGATTTAAAGTAAAAGAAAGTAATCAATCAAACAAAAATTGGCAATTCTTTGGCGCATCGTCTCTCCTCCCATTTGCTCTGTACTTAAACAAAAAATCACGAAATGTCCGTTTTCTCCAAAGAAGTTTTTCATGAACCCTAGGGCGCGATAGCTCAGTTGGAAGAGCAGTGATCCGGCAACCCGCATTCGAAACCAAGTCGATGCGTTAATGCCCTTTAGTAAGGCATTAATTCTCATTACCAGGTCCCTCGGAGAGGACCTAAAGCAGTCGGTCCTCTGGTTACTTACTAACAAGCATTTATGCTTTCTTATCAGTCAGGTAAAATAACCACCACTAAGCTACTAAACCACTAAATTATTGCAAATATGTTTCTATATTCAACCCCTGTATGGAAAAATCTATTCCATCATCAATAATGAAGAAAATCAAAATTTATGACATGTTATCTACAGAGCGAAGGGTAGGGAAGCTCACAAGAAATGTCACAGAGATGCCACTTTGTTTTTGATCACAATTTCCAAAATTCATAAACTTTCTTATTCTTAAATCAGAATTTCATTGACCCGATCCTCTCATTTTTCTACTTCTATTATAAAAACAAACTTAACATCAGGGTGGACCTCAATTGAATATTAAACATCTTAGATGTCTCTAAGATGTCTCATACATTACCCTGGTCACTGAGAAAGCTAGAGGATGGGACTACCTGTAGTATGAGTATAGTAATTAAAATATCGAAGAAATTGCTTCTTTAAAACAACTTTCTTATAGCTTTTTACATGATTTACTTCTCCGGCACATACTTAAATTATATCAAAACACAGCACCTAAATGCAGACATCAATTTTACTGGGCGAACTATAGCCAAGCATTAGGAGCTATCTTACCAGTACTCTGTTTAAAAATGCTACTTGATGTAAAACAAAACTACAAGAGACTTTTCATCTCTCCACCATATTGAAATCTTGGGTGATTCAATGATGCATACACTAATGGATTATCAAATTATGCAGCAAGTATTCTTAAAGAACTGTAACTTATAAACTACTTCAAGGATACCTCTCTTTCAATGAAATTCGATGAAATCAGAGGGTTATAACATGCAAACACAACTACTTAAAAACATAAAAGGTAAAGTCTATTATCCCCCAAATCGATGTCCAGTGTGTTACAAAATAGTCAATATATCAAAATCAACATCAGGTTAATGACAAGTTATTACATGATGCAATATACATTATGAAATATTAAGAAATAAAATAAGATTCTAGAGATACACACCTAAGCGATCTCCCCGAATTCACCAGTTATCAGATGAAAACTCGAGATCATACGTAAAGCCGAAAATTATAAATATTGTTTAGCCCTACATCCAAATCCACTTTTACAAGTCCAAGACAAGGAGCACAATTGCATGTACGTCATTGCACAAGCTGAATATAATTACACTTTTCTATATCAATTACACAATTTAAATGGCATGCACTTTCTTCATGGAGGAGATCTGTGTTCTCCTCCCATCAAATGGGGAAAAATCTATAAAGAAAGAGAAGGGGATAAGACACCAGTGCCCTCTCAATGACTGGACCAATCTAATATACTGGCACTACTGATTCATTTTCTTAAAAGTAAGATCATGGGATAAGATCTTGATTTTGAAGTATACAGTTGTTGATACATGTATGGAGTAATTACTAGAGTTACAGGATTGCATAAATTAATTAGTAACTGTAATGCTCTATGTGCACGTTTGTCTGTGCATTTACAGTACATGTAAGCCAGAAATCCCAGAATATAAATTATTACAAATACAGTTTAATATGAACAATAATTTAAACACCTTCAATAGAAGACAGTGCAAATAACCAAACAACAAAGCTTTACAATAAAGCTTGTAAAACTGATAAGCAAAAATGCAAACTATCATCAACATAATTGCCCATCAAATTATGGGTAGGTTTTGTCATCAAAGAATGTAAGGCCTTAGAATAGAGTTTATATTGAATTGAAATAAAACAGATGAAAGAGGATACAAGAATGACAAGAGGATGTATGTGTGCAAGAGACGGGGGAGGGGTGGAGGAGAGAGATGGGGACACTAAGGGTGAAAGAAACATGAGAGAAATAGGGAAAGAACAATAACACACAATGTAATTATAAATAGCTATAACATGGGGAAATGGCTTAAACTGTATGCATAAATCATTAATAAGGCTTAATCTTAAATCAAAGGTGAAAATGGGAACAGAGATCTGAATAGAATAGAGAGAGATTAAATGGAGAAAGTATACAGTTGAAAAGTATATTATCTGGCTGATTCACAAGTCTAAAAAGAAGAACCAATTTAAATAGATTTTTAAAAATGTGGTTGTAAATCTTAACCAGATAGCACAAGCATCAGTTTAGGCATGAGAGGGGGAGGCGGGAGAGAAAGACAAATAAAGTAAAGACAGAGAAAATGAAATAAAGTAAGTTAGAGTGATACAGGGGGGGAGGGGGGTTACCTTGTCACATGATATACTCTATACATAATTGTAGTATGCGTATGTAGATTTACATAGTCTGAGAAAGTTCAATGAGAGGTCTGTATCAAGAAATTTGATACCACTTTGAAATAATATCCAGGACTTTTGAAGCTTCGAGTTGGGCAATGATTTTTCGAATGAGTGGCAGATATCACTTTGACTGTTTGTTGAAGGATTGAAGGTGACATAACCTAAAAGTTTCAACATAGCTGGTGTAACTCAGGCCATAAGTAGTTTTACATGTCCTTTTTCTGAACAAGTTTGATGTACTATTTAGTCCTTCCAGAGGATCACAGGCCTACATGTGCTGCTTTTCTATGGTTCAGTGATGCAAAAAGGGAAGGGAATTTAAGATTCCATAGCATGAAAAATGCTTCATCTCTCTTCACAGTTGAACTTAAGTGGACATCCCATTTTTGGTTCACCTGAAGGAAGATTCCTCAAACACGACAGCGCTGACAAATTTGATGGTTGTGTCATGAGCGAGATTGAGCAGGTAAGGAGACAACGAAGGCCATCTGGAATGCTTGATGCTAGGTATGTTGACATTGTTGCGTTATCCAGCTCAACTTTGCCTCGAAGGTAAACCGGCATTACTTCGGGTCCACTTTTGTTGATGTACCTGACACAGTGTTGGAGGTTATACCGTTGCTAGTAGCTCTGCCAAATGAAAGAAACAAAATATAAAAATATATTTTTTTTTAAATTATAAATAAAATTCCAGGAATCATGAAATGATAACTCATATAGAGGATGACTAAAAATCATCAGGACACTTATTTCAATCAGTGATAGTTATTATTTCTAGTACATTTGTCATGGCTACGTGTGGATGCTTAAGCAACTTCCAAATGTGAGTGAGGCAATCTCTTGTTATCCTATGTGATCTAATTTAGACCTTTAAACTTTGTAGGATTACATATTTTAATGGATTGCAGTATGGTGGCCTGCAATAATCTTTACAGTTATAATTTCAACAAACACAAGAATTTAACAAAAAAAGCTTGATACTTTTGAAAATGATCAAAACTAAGGAAATTTTAATGTAAAAGATGATTATGTTAGGTTTCAGCCAAAAAAGTTCATGTAGTCATTTTGTAGGACTATGCCATGATCATCACTATGCACTTGTTGGACAAAAATCCCACCAATATATAGACCTAGCTGTAGATCAATGTATAGCACAATTTAATGTCCACTCCTGGATGTCTTCATTCATTGTATTTTGTTTCTTTCTATGATTAAATTATCTCTGGTAAAGTTTCGGGTCTCAAAGATGAATATGAAGTACAATATACTATCTTGCGACACAGCAAAACAAGTTTAGTTACAGGTCCAGCAGGCGTTAATCTTTTTGAGTCTTCCCACAGTCATCATCCAGATACGGATGTAGTCTATCAGCAAATGAAACCATTGCAGTGCTATTTTTGATGAGCTATTGGTGGGCATTACAAGGCGTTATCTTACCAAGGAGCCCCAAAAGACAGGTGAAAGTACTAATCTATCTTTACGTTCATGTCACATGCACGTACTTGCTTGTGCAGATTGCCGTCTCAATATTGAAACAAAATAACATATCCTGACAGGCTACATGTACATGTTCGCAATATGTATGTAGGGTCCTATTCATGGAACAATTATGTAAATGTATCTCTTTAACATGCAGTGTTAACTATTGTCTCTGTCAACCGCATAATTGAAAAGGTAATTGTGCCAGAATGATTCGGCAAAAAACACCCAAATAACTTAAATCGAGGGGGGGGGGGCAGACTCTTACAATATCATTAGGATGATTCATACTACACATGTCTAACCTAGTCAAGTATATTCCCTTCAATTGGATGTGTACTCCCTTGATCATATTCCTTTCTCAGGCTGGATGGTATTCCATGATAGCTGGCAATATAATTGATCCTTTGAAACATTAGGTGTGTTGCCCATAGCAGGAAAATCCCAATTAGAAACATCTCTTGTACAAGGGTATCCCATTTATCCTACTAGATATAAGCTTGTAAATCTACCAAAACTCTATATAACAAAACAAACAATTCTTAATGGCCATGCTTACTTTATAAACTATCTTTTTGTTGAAGCAGGAGCTGGCCGCATAGTCAATCTAAGATACAACCGCTTACATGTATGCCTACTCATACCTCTGGGTTAGCTTCATGACTGTATGCACAAATAAAGCTATGAGGTGATTTCCTACAAAAGTGTACTACAAAAGGCAAAAAATAAAATCATGAATCAAGAGTTGTTGTTTGCTGATTACCAAGGTGCCAAACAGTTTTTAATGCAAATGCCCCATTATCCAAAAAAGAAGTACAGTCTAGAGGCAGGCCTAGAAAGACTATGTAACATTGCATCAAACAAGCCTTTTCCCCCTTCGTATTATTCTGACTCGGTTAGTTCTGCAATTCTGCCATTGAAAAGTTAGCTTCGCAGTCTGAAAGTCGATACGCATTACTAATAAACATTAAAGTTGTATGACCATACAATGTTGATGTGTATATATGGCGATAGTCCATACGCTATGCAGGTCCTTAAGCTACCACCCCAGTAACCCACAAAATACATGTACACACAATGCAACATTTAAATGTACTACTCCAAGGTTACCGAGTAACAAGACAAATATCTGGGCCCTGTAACACGAAGTTTTGCGTTCGATTGCATATATTCTGATTGGTTATAATGGTGGATTGAACAATAATGATCTAGACTGGTCCATTGTCATTTTGCAACTGACGCCAAACTTATTCTTAATACAAGAAGGCCCAGATCATTTGCCCCCCCCTCCAAAAAAAAACAAAACAAAACAAAACAAACAAACAAACAAAAAATCTTATTTTCTTGTCATAGATCTAGATCTAGAATCATAAATTTGAAATAGGTATGAAATTCACATTAGTCAGCCGAAAAGATAAGATTTGCATTCATTCATTACATGTACATGTGCGGATTACACCTTTTAGGATTTAGTTTAGGGTCTAATTTTGTTGAATGGATTTTGCAAAGTCGAGCCAGCTAGGGGAACAAAAGCATCAACCGAAAACAGCAGCAAATCATGTGCTAGCTGTTGTCTCGACTACTATAATTTTGTCAACAGCTCGACTTCAGAATAACTGTGGAACTGACAAAAACAAACAAATTAGAGGTTTGAAGACTTTGAAAGCAAAGTGCACAGCTATACAGTCACCCAACTTGCCCAAACTGACTGGCAGTGGCACTGGCGCTGGCACAGCTACCCACTGCAAATGAGTGGCAACTGCACTGGCACCGCACTAGACTGCCCGGGCCGGGATAGGATTTCCACGAAATCACATATCATTACAGGTGGATGATCTCCATTTTTGCAGTTGTTATATTCTTATTTTGTATCTAGGTTATCCAAAATGGTGACAGGGACTTACCACAGCGATAGTAGCGATGTACCTCAATAAAAACCAGACAAACACGGTCTTAATGAGGGTTTTTACCTCCCCAGTCGACATGAAAACGAGTCTCTGAATGCCCTATCGCCCAGCTAATTCATAGCCAGCGCTAGCAGCGAGTCGCCCAGGCTATCGGCGGTGCACTGCGCGCCGACATGCAGCGCTAGAGCTCTGGCTGTGTTTTCGATGCTCCTATCCACCGCTTGACAACGCGGTGGTAAGCAGTAGCAGCGTAATGTACATGCTGCTATACGGAGACCAGTCTCCCTGGTTAGACCTTGGATCCTGCGTCACTAAAGACGGAGAGACGGCACTGGTATAGGTCGTACCTATGGAGGTCGTGCGCAAGGATCCATAGTACTACCTAGGATATTATGTGGATCAGGTGTTGTAACATCATCTTCATTGGGTAACATGAATCAATAAAAATTGGACAGAATAGTTTGGCATTTTTAATATCAAATTATTTGTTTTAAATCAAATATTTTGTGGATTTATTTGTGGTGATTGAATTTGATAAAATGTTGATTTTGGAAAGTAATAATTGTTTTACATATTCTATATATTTCCATATTTGGATATTTCAATTTCAACGTCCTCGTCCACATAATCGATAACCTCTTTTTAGAAGATCTAGCCGGACCTGCGGCTCGGGTGGCGAAGTCTCTTCAAAACCCAAAGGCCGCTGGTAAGGCCAGATCTATATCAAATAAACTAAAGAAAAAGACATTAGAGACGCGGAATGCTGCCGCCTTTCTACTTTAAATAATGTTTCCATTTGTGTCTGTCATTACAATATCTACTTGTTAGGCAATACAAATTTAATTTATTTAATCATTTTTTTAGTTATTTATCTGTTAATCTATCATCTTTTCATTTAATTTATGGTTGATCAAATATTTATTTAGTTATCTTTCTACAAATTCATTAATAAGTTCATCAGTTTATCTACTCATTCAATGATATATTTATACTTACTGACTTATTTCATGTATATTTTTATTTTAACAGTATACGCCTCTGTCGTGCTTCATAATGAGTAGGCCTATTGAACTATTCGGCCTTATTTATTTTGTCTTACTGCTTATTGTCATGCACATCACCACACATGGAACTCTTGCATTCTCAGATTAAAAGTGTGCTCCGCAAGTGGAATTTAAAATCCCCACTGCACTACGTATAGCTATACTTGCGCGTTATAGCAAACAATGACTTGTCGGTGCCTGTTTGTCCACCATGATCCCCTTTTTCTTACGTTAATTGAGAGCTGTAATTGTACTTTTTGGAAGATTTAGCCGGACCTGTAGCTCGGGTGGCGAAGTCTCTTCAAAACCCAAAGGCCGCCGTGTCTGGCTAGATCCATTTCAAATGAACAGAAATATCACAGAAACCATCAAGATAATATAAATTTCTAGTTCGTTGATCAGATCATTCATTCAATTATTAAAGTGACTCGGTAACATTGCCTCAGATTCTGAAGCAAAATCCTGATTTAGCTCATGCTGCATTCTTAATTATAAACTTTTAAGGTCAGTCAGGAAGCCCATGATTATTTATTGGAAATCGAATTTTCTGTTGTCGTTTTCCTAACGGTTTTTATAATACTACAGCCACGTTGCCAGATCTGACATAATTATTTTTTCTGCCATAATTTTGACGCTTTTAGCATCTGGCATTAAGCCTGCCATAATTTGGCTGTTTTGAACAAAATTCTGGCATAAACCATGATTTGAGCTTTTTTAGCATAATTTGAATACATCTTTCAAGTACATGTAGTTATGTTGGTAAATCATTCCACCTTTCTGTATCGTTTTTCTAAACTGCCGCTAAATATTTCCTTAAAAATTGCTTCTTACCCCCCCCCCCCCCCCCCCCCCGCTTATTCAGTGGCTGGCTGAGTGTCAGACACGTTGCCCCGGGATGCGAGATAGGACTCTTGTAGCGTGCCCTCACTTAAGACAATAATTATAAATAATAATTGACATTACATTTAATTAAAAGAATGAAGCGATTAATATTACTCTCATGTTACGGGGAAAAAATATTATATTTATTTTAAATCAATTGATTTGGTAGCCTTTTGACAAGGCCTCGTGACTCTGGCTACACTACATAAATATAAATATACATGAAATAAGTCAGTAAGTATAAAGATATAATTGAATAAGTAGATAAACTGATGAACTGATCAATGAATTTGTAGAAAGATAACTAAATAAATATTTGATTAACTATAAATTAAATGAATAGATAAACAGATAAATAAGTTCTTCTTCTTATCGAGTCACTACACAAGTCCCGTCCAGTGGTCCGCACAGGCTTTGGCACGGCAATTCACGGCTTCCAGGTCATCTTGGGTGCATGGCTCTGGCAGGAGTGGGCAGACTAGCAGGTGTTCCATTGTCTGTTCCTGGCCGATAAATAAGTTAACAAATGATTACATAACTTTAATTTGTATTGCCTAACAAGTAGTTACTGTAATTACAGACACAAATGGAAACATTATTTACGGAAGAGAGGCGGCAGCATTCCGCGTCTTAAATGTCTTTTTCTTTAGTTTATTTGATATAGATCTGGCCTTACCGGCGGCCTATGGGTTTTGAAGAGACTTCGCCACCCGAGCTGCACGTCGGGCTAGATCTTCTAAAAAGATCAATACACAAATTTCATTAAATGATGTAGTCGTTTGATATATAATTATTAGATAAAATATACAAAACGATTATTACTTTCCAAAATCAACATTTTGTATTTAATTCAATTATTACTAATAATTTAACAAATACGTTGATGTAAAACAAATATTTTAATATTTAAAATGTAAAACTATATTTAGAACAATTCTGTCCTGTTTTTATTTAATCATGTTACGCAATGAAAATGACTTATGTAACAGTGTAATACTCGCCGAAGTCTTAATCGATTAGCATGCAATATAAAGAGAGGGCTTACTTCGAACCGTCTTGTATTGGTCACACCATTGAGGGGAACTGAGATGATTTGTGGTACGGAGGGGGTTCTGTTTTCCCTTCTTTTTCTTTGTTGCCTATATTTCCTTTGTTCTCTTTCCCGAAATTTATCTCTTCCCCATTTGATAAGGGGAGTTCAGCATAAACCCTCGTGTCCCCTGTAGCTACTTTGCAAAACAAACAAAAAATCAACAACAAAAATTATAAAAAAAAGTTTAAAAAAAACATCCTAATGTCATTGGTTATTAAATTTCAATCTGACTTTACCCGACAATTCGTAGTTGTATGGGTAAGTATTCACACAAAAATATGCATGTAAAAAGATTATCTCTTCATTCTCCTGAATACCTCAATATTGCATTTTAATCGATTAAGACTTCATCCGAGCTTTTAATACTAACATAAATCCTTTTCATAGTGTAAAAATAATAATCATCGGACCAAATTGTTTTTAATACAAATTTTGTCTAATTTTTAATCATTAAAATAAAAAGTTTTTATTCATAAATGAAATTTACAACCAAATAATGGTTTAATTTGATTAAAACAAATTGAATTTATGAAGTAATAACCGTTTCGTATATTTTTAAAATAATTTATATATAAAAACCGACCCAATATGTCGTTCCTATAAAATAATGCACTTTTTGGAAGATCTAGCTTTACCTGCAGCTCGGGTGGCGAAGTCTCTTCAAAACCCATAGGCCGCCTCGTCTGGCTAGATCTATTCCTAATGAACAGAAGAAAAAAGAGAAACATTCGAAGTGTTAATATGATAGTTCTTACACAGATCATTCATTTTATTATTTAAATTGACTCGGTAACATTTCCTTAGATTCTGAAACAAAAAAAAATAAGGCTTTCACATTAATACTCGGGGGCTCGTACAGCGAGTAAAAAACAAACATTGGGGAATTTTCGGCCGGTGTCCGGCGGACTCCCGTACAGTTCCTACATGCGCCGGGACATTTTTTAAAGCCGTACGGGCGCCGTGGTGTTGAGTTGGCTGCTCCCTATTCCACCGGCGTTATTATCTGACCGTTATGCCGGGTCCCTCACGATTTTCCTGTTAATTCTCAATGTACAACGTAGCTTTGAATACAGAGACACGGATGTCAGAAGACATGAAGATCATTGCGCCGCACGGCAGCCCGTGGGGCAACGTACGGGTGACTTGACGACCCCATGGGCCCGGGGAGCCATGGGGTGCGCCTGTTCATCGGACGGAGCCCGTACGCTTACCGGTCGGAACCCGACCTGCACCCGACCTGCACCCGACCGGCACCCTTACGGACGCCTTGCATTTTCACTCGACCAATTTTTAACAGGCACCTCCCGGGCGCCGCAGTATGTGACCACAACTGCCGTAGAAATGAAAATCGGAAGGGTTCCGTACGGTCTCTAAAATCCACGGCAAGCCGACGGGTAAGGAAAATCGTACGAGGTCCGGTGCATAATTGTGACCTATATATTAGACATAAGAGAGCACCGAAAAGTGTCGTAGTATAGAGTGGTTTAAGAACTTGAGTTGAAAATCAAGGGTCGGGGTTCGATTCCCGATCGACACGGCACGAGTGTCCTTTGACAGGCATTAATCTTCATTTGCCACACTCGACCCGGGTGAGGTAAATGGATACCTGGCAGGAGTTAATTCCTTGAAATGCCGGAGCGCTGTAATGGCAGCTAGGCTACAGCCGGGGTAATAATTAGTGCGTCTCGGAATAGAATTTCTAGATAAAAGGTGCTATAAAAATGCCCTCTTATTATTATGAAAGTAAACCATTTTTGCATTACATTGACACCCTTCATCTTTTGAAGAACATTTGGGGGGGGGGGGAGGGGTAGAACGAGATAGAACTTACATTTATGTACGTTGCTTTAAAAAAAAAATCCAATTACAGCTTTCCCTCTCGCTATGGCTTGTGTGTCCCCGTGGATGGCCATCCTGACAGACTGTGTACTTGTGCAGATGACAATGTTACTCTCCTTATAATCTCTATTGAAATGAGTGTACATTACTCAGGATTGTGAGCCTAGCTAAATTTTCCTTCCGGGCCCTTAATATTAAAAAGTGGGGGGAACAGACGTACCGCTGGTTTTGATATGAGTTATAAGCTCAAGTTTAGCGGTGAATATTTTGATCTGACTGCTAAGAAAGCATTAATGTTGTTTCCCAAATGCTGTTTCCCCATAATTATGTGTAAATTTCATCTTGATTCACTTTTATTATTGCTATTTATTGTAGGGTTATTAACAACAACAGCTTAACGATTTAACAATAAATTCTACCTTTAAGTGAGTGCAGAGTGTGGAAAAAGAAATTAAGGGAAATCCAGCTCTGATAAATTAACGAGGTACTTAATTTCTCTCATTTTTCTTCCTTCACATTTCTCACATTTTCTGTTCATCTTTT